CTTTTAAAACATCTACTAAAGCCCGTGTAAGCTATTTATATGAATACGTTAACTTGATTAACGTCACGGCAAACACCGTAAATAAATTGTTAAAGTCATCGTTAAGTACTAATCATGGTTAATAAAGTAACCTTTGTGTAAAACGGTGTTATTTAAAGTTCTGATTTCCCCAAATAAAAAACCCTACTTTCTCATCGCGACAAAACGATTCGTCTCCTTCTCTCTAGCAAAGAGATGATTGCGGTGAAAGTGTAAACTTTGTGACGAATAAAGAGTTGCAAAGATGAGGTATGAGTCGGAAGCCCTCGTTAATGTTCTCATTTTTTCGGTTAACTCACCTCTTTGTTTGTGTTTTACAGTGACATCAATGGTGGTCTGAAGATGCACACGAGAGAAGTTATATGTGGTGGTTCAATGTCATACAAACGAGAGAAGTTCTCATACTCCGGGTTTCAGAAAAATGCCAGGAAGTCATAAGAAAAAATAGGTTTAAAGCAGCACATGAGTCACCTACAAAACCCAACCGTGTGACTCGTGATGGCAGGACAGTCACATGTGGTAACTGTAGAAAGGTTGGACATAACTGTCTCACTTGTAAGAATGCAGCTGATGTGGTTGAAGGCAAATGTTTAAGACCATGGAAGTTATATGTGAGTATAAAGTCAATATTGCCTTTGAATAAGTATATGATAGCACTTATGTTTCTTATTTAACATCACAGGCTGAAGGAGAAACAAATCCAAAACGACCAAGGAGACAGAAGAAAACACAATCCCAATCTTCCATCAACACACCAGATGTTATCTCGTCATGTCCTGAGGCATCAACAAGACCATCCTATTCTATTACAACTGATGCAGCAACAATAACACCTTTAACTGGTCGTAGTCGTGGCTGTGGGCGGCATCCTGGATGAGGACAAGCACGTAGAGAGATCGTTCCTAGAGGCCAAAGCGTCTACATAAGTCCATTTACTAACAGAGTATTTGAAGTTATGGAAACAATTCAAGAGTTATAGACTCTTCTTCTAAAGAATGATGCGTGCTGTTTATCTAAACATCTTGTGTCCAATACTCTACTTATTGTGTTGTCTTTGTATTTCAGTCTTTGAATATTTGTCTTTTGTTTCAAACACTAGTTATCATATTCTCTTTAGATGTTCACTTTTAATGGTTTTCTTCGGTTCAAACTTATTTTTTTTTTGTCTGCTTACAACAACACAGCTAAACAAACTCATATTATAACCACGAAATCACCAACAAATTAACAAGACAGACACTTACGACCAACAACACAAACCCAAAAGAACTACAATACAAACACAAAAGAGCAACATATTGTTACTTTAACCCACCAATTGCATATTTTTGCTCCAGGATTACATCTTGCGCTTCCAGCAAAGCTATCTTCTGCCATCTTGAGGCTTTTCTGTTGACATTTTGCTTCTCGGTTGATTTGACCTCACTCTCATACGAGATACGACCAGCCTCTTTTCTCACTCTGTTTTTTTTTTTCTGTTTTTCTGTCTTGTATTTTGTCATACACAAGACACTCTATCTTTGTTTCTCACTTGCGCTACAACTGAAATACAAGCACACACACTTGACTTCTCTTCTCCTTTGACTTCTTGTTGACCACAATGGTTGCTTCTTCTTCCTCGGTTTCTTGCTGTCCAAGTTTCTTTTTCTTCTTTGTAGCTTCTTCTCAGCTACTCTTCCTTGTTCTACTTCTTTGAGTTTTAATCAATGTCCAATCTCAACATTTTCAACATCAAACCACTTGAATAAATTGCAACAACTCCTTCTCCCCGAATTTCTGTCCGTCCAAGCTTTTATTACCGTAGTCGATAAGCTACAAAGACACTTTGTATCTCCCAACAACGTGCCGACACCCCTTTACCGCAGCTTCCATTTGAACCACAACCCGAGTTTTGACTATGATTCATCTCTCTCTTTCTCTGTAGCTATGTCCCTCTCTCTATTATGCTCACGAAATAGACTTCGAAACTAAGGTTTCAATTGGGAATTTTCTGTGTATAACTAATTTATTAACCATGGTTTAGCTTTAAAGAATAACTTTAACGATTTATTTACGGTGTTTGCCGTGACGTTAATCAAGTTAACGTATTCATATAAATTGCTTACACGGGCTTTAGTAGATGGTTTAAAAGACCAAACAAAATTAGTTCGTGTATTGTTTCGGTCACTTAAAAAGGTTGTGTATTAAGTTGGAAATAATAATAAAACTTGTGTATTAATATGGAACTTTCCCTTAAATATAAATATAAAACGTAGGTTCTAATACAAGAAAAAAAAAACTAAACCAAAGTCTATACCATTTTTTAAAATTATATTTTAAAAAATCTACACCATGCTTTCTCTCTTTTTGAACAGCATGTAAAAAATCAAAATCAACCCAAAAATATGAACAATGTGCGAAAATAATAAAACTTTATTAGCCGCATACTCTCTCACAGACCTAGAGGTTTAGACCTTAAAAAGTAAATTAGAACTCTCTCATCCACACAGAAGGTCTTAAAAAGACCCATCCATCCTCAAGTCTCCGACACAGATAATGAAAATGAAAATGGAGAAAAGCTAAGGACACGTTTCCCTCCACCTTCCGTCTAAGATCGAAACTTTATCAATCATTGCAGAATGAATTAACATCAAACTTGGTGATGGCTCTAACACGGAATCTAATCAGAGACGAAGAGCTTGGAGCGATGTCAGACGACGACGATTCACCTTCCGGAAAACGATCTAAGCTCGATCGGTTCCCTCTAAGCCGATGGGAACTCGCTGTGTCTCTCGGCGTCTTCCTCGTCTTCTCCTCTGGTCTCTTGTGCATCTACATGACTATGCCTGCTGCTGAGTTCGGCAAACTCAAGCTCCCGAGAAGCATCTCTGATCTCCGCTTGCTCAAGTAAAGACATTTCTCTTCTCCTTACTCGTAAAGATTCAAACTTTTTATAGGATAATCCAAATTTTGATGAATGTTGAGGTTCTTGATAGTGTTAATGTAGAAACTTGAGAAGGGTATTGATAAAGTTGTAATCTTTGTTTGGAAATAAGAAACAATCTTGCGAACTATGCGAATTTTTACTGAAAAAAGAATCAAACTTTCCATTATAGGATGATCGATATTTTGATCAATTTTGAGGTTCTTGATAGTGTCAATGTAAAAACTTGATAAGGGTATTGATAAAGTTTTAATCTTTGTTTGGTTTCGGAGACAATCTTGCAATACTGATAAAGCTTCGAACTTTTATAAGATAATCGAATATTTTGATCAATGTTGAGGTTAATGGTAGTGTCAATGTATTGATAAAGTTGTAATCTTTGTTTGGTTTGAGAAACAATCTTGCAATAAAATTGTTATACGATGATCGAATATTTTGATCAATCTTGAGGGTATTGATAAAGTTTTAATCTTTGTTTGGTTTCAGAAACAATCTTGCAATAAAAATTCAAACTTTATTATAGGACGATTGATATTTTGATGAATGTTGAGGTTCTTATAGTGTGTATGTTGAATTTTGATATGGGTATTGATAAAGTTTTAATCTTTGTTTGGTTTCAGAAACAGTCTTGCAATAAAGCTTCACACTTTGTTACAGGATGATCGAATATTTTGATGAATTTTGAGGTTCTTGATAGTGTAAATGTAGAAACTTGATAAAGGGTATTGATAAAGTTGTAATCTTTGTTTGGTTTCAGAAACAATCTTGCAATTAAGATTCAAACTTTATTATAGGATGATTGATATTTTTTATGAATGTTGAGGTTCTTGATAGTGTAAATGTTGAATTTTGATATGGTATTGATTAAGTTGTAATCTTTGTTTGGTTTCAGAGACAATCTTGCGAACTATGCGAATGAGTATCCGGCACAGTTCGTTTTAGGGTACTGTGCGACGTATATTTTCATGCAGACGTTTATGATTCCAGGGACTATCTTTATGTCGCTTTTAGCTGGAGCTCTCTTTGGTGTTATCAAAGGTGTTATCTTGGTTGTGTTCAACGCAACTGCAGGAGCTACTTCTTGTTTCTTTTTGTCTAAGTTGATTGGTCGGCCGTTGATCACTTGGTTATGGCCTGACAAATTGAGATTCTTTCAAGCTGAGGTAGAGCTTTATCTTTACCTCTCATTTGGTGCGTGTAGCGAATGATTCATTGTGTGGCTTTTCAGATTGGTAAGCGTAGAGACAAGCTTCTGAACTATATGTTGTTTCTGAGGATAACACCAACACTGCCAAATCTGTTCATCAATTTGGCTTCTCCGATTGTTGATGTACCTTTCCATGTCTTCTTTTTGGCGACATTGGTCGGTCTCATTCCCGCAGCTTACATAACCGTCAGGGTAAGCTCCTTGTCTCTGAGAAGCATAGTCCAAGACACAAGATTCTAAGCAGAGCTTAAGTTTTTGGTTCTTTGTATTGCAGGCTGGACTTGCTATTGGAGATCTCAAATCGGTGAAGGATCTGTATGATTTCAAGACATTATCGGTGCTTTTCCTCATTGGGTTTATCTCCATACTTCCAACAATACTGAAAAGAAAGAAGATATATGAATAAACCAAGGAGAAGTCTCTTTACAATACACAAGACAAGACTACAGTTTTTAACTGATTAGAGGACACAGCAGAAACAATAATGGTTAACTCGTTTATACATTTTTGTGTTTGTATTTTCCATTTGTGAGTAGAACTGAGGAAGAGATCATAGAATCAATACATTTATTTTTTATCCAAGTTATTATTTTCTTTATATATTTGCAGAATCAATGTATATGAAAACAAGTACTAGAAAGAAGTATTTCTCTTCGAATCCACATTAAAAGCATGACATCATTTAAATAAGACAACCAGTTCACTCAAACCAACAACATTACAACAACAACTCTCTCTCTGTAAAGCAAGAGAAATATTTCAGCAGAAGTTGAATACAAAGACGTTAAGAAAGGTCAACTTAAGACCACCACCAACAGGTTTGGAAAACTGTTAGGTCTGGCCTGACACAACTTGAACCACACCTGGTTGTTCTGCAAGAAAAATAACATTGGTCAAGTTAAAACCTTATCATGTGTTTTTTCCTAAAGCCTAAATACTCTCAAAAATATTGCTATCATGACTACATGATTCTACTTGTACTTATTTGAAATCTCATGTTCCATATGTCATAGTTTAAGAAACTTACTGGAGATCTTGGCAACTTGCTCAGCGGTGAGCTTAGCTGAAAAACCAGAGGCAGCGTCCTTGTAACTGTATATTAAAGCGTCCTTTGCAGCTTTCTCACTGTTGAATAGCCAAAATGAATAGAACATAATCACCATTATAATTATACTCAATCACATCAATCACCTATGGCCCTCAAAATACAGATTCCCAAATTTGTAAGAAATATATATATAACACATTTATTAAATCGTCTATATTCCCTAAAATTTCAAGGCCAGCCATTCATAAGCAAACAATATATATGTATATATCCTCACTCTTTATAATGACACAATTGTTAGATGTTTTACAGACCTGCCAAGAACGGAGGAGAGTGTACGGAGATGAAAGTCTTTTGGTTCCTCATTGGTAGGCTTCTCTGTGTAGATGATGTGAA